GATTTCCGCACAACACTCCGAGAGCCAATCGTTGCAACCTGCGAAGTCCTCTCAGCGAATGACGACGCGGAACATACGTTTAGACCAAGAAATGCAATCTGCGCTGTTACATTAAGCAAAGCAAGCGGGACGTTTTGCATTCCCTGATGTCGCAGACAGCATCTTTGGGTCTAACCAAATGTTCGGCAGCCTCATTAGTTGAGCGGTGCCGTAAATTGCAGTGATTGGCTCTCAGAGTGCCATGTCCCTGGCCGGTCAAAAAACAAAACGTTTACAGCACCTATTCGCTCACGTTTATTGGGGCCATAAATACGGATACATTAGCTAATTAAAGCCCGGTAACATACGTTGTTACATTTACGAAGAGATATCATTGCTCATTTCATTCGCGCTGTAAATTCGAAGTTCTGTTCTTGAGATCTTTCTGGCGGAAAGCTTGAACTCAGCATTTTGTCATATTATATATAGTCAGTATTGTAGTAATGAAATCAGTGTTCGCTTCAAAAACGTTTTTTTCTTGTGTAGTTCAACATACAAGACTGTAAAATAATGTTTTTTTTTGCAACGTGCTTGTTTGGACAACTCCAAGTTAAAATAGCATAAAAACAAATTTCAAACGACAAGTAGCTTAATTAATAAGAAGCCGCCCCCTGTCCTACTTATTCTGCCTATGCATCAAACAATTTCCGGCCATTTTGAGCACTACTGTACTTATAGCAATTTTCAAGATAAATTATAAATATTGCCTGATTAGAAGAAGTTTTACCTTGAAATGATGAACAGGCCGATTGCAGTTCGTTTTCAAAAAGCCACCAGCAGATGTCTCCAATCGTCCATGTGCTCATGTCCGCTGACATGTTGCAAGTGATGGCTAAGAGGAAAGGGAGGAAGGTACTTCCTTCTAGAGCTTCAAACCCAAAGGGAGAGGAGGTCAAACATTGTTCCGATCCGCCACTCGTACGAGCGAGTGTGGCACTCCCTCGAGCAACGAAACTAGATCCTACCGAAGAAAGGGTAAAAGCACAGGCGAGCTGGTGAAGAACTTCCATCGTAAACCGGAGACACGGAAAAATAAAAAAACGGACAAAACAACAACAACTAGATCCTGTTGGCTCCAGTGACCTTCAGCGACCCATTGCTGTTCACCGCTAAGCTGACAGCGCGGTGGAAGCTACGTGCTTGCCGGACCAATTAGTCGCCTGGTTTTTATCACCTGACACCTTTCTCTGCGGTTGTGATCACATGGTGCAAGGCAGAAGGTTCACTGGTCAAACGAGCATGACGTTCCCAACGAACTGTCAGCCTAGTGGTGAGCAGATTAGCCCCCGAAACGTCGCTTTTGAACACATTACGGCTTATCTTCTGGGGTGCCGTTGAGCTGCCTGAACCATGGTTCGCTGGCGAAGATAATATGCAGATGTCATCGCTTTTCCGTCCTTGTCTGCCAGGAAACACGGCGATCACGTCACCAAGCATGTCCGTCAGCCGCCGGTAAAATTGTTGGCAGTTCACTCTCTTGCCAAAAATAAACACAAAATAAACAAGAGCGAAATTCTCGATTCGGCGTGACACCTTCCGGCAACGGAAACAATCAACACACTGTGTTGAGCAACGCGTGTTGGCCTATTTGGTGGCTGAGCGACTTTTGTGCCGGCAGTACGACAACGCACCTAGATTCGATGATTCAGTGTCCGGTCAGTGACGTGTTTTTTATAGGAATTTATCAAAATAGAGGGCTTGGAAACAAGATTGAATGATAATCGAGCCTATTTTGGAACTCGAAGGAGAAGTGATAATAAATCAATCAGAGAGAGCGAATTGATGTCGCTGACAAAGAATTTTTCTTCCAATCGGAGCCACCTCCGAACCGTCGATTGCCATTTCTGAACAAATATTCGCTCAGTTAAGCGCCACGTCACGGAAATGCTGGGCGTGCAGGCGCCGCTTATCCCTTTTACACTAGAAATGGGAATCGAAAACATAGAACCAGCCCAAAAACCGGAAAAATGGCCCCGGACAAAATTTTTCGAATAGAAAACTCGGACAAAATGGTTCAAATAAATTTTTTTCGTATTTTTTCTCGCTCCTTATTTTTATTAGCTTTAATTGGTACAATCCCAACATATAAAAAGATAAATATTCGTATAATGCAATACATTTTTTTGTGAAATAAACATTTCATTACACAAAGAAACTAGTTGTAAATGTGTGCTACGTTTGGCTTCACTCAAAACGTCTTCTTGTAGCTCTTTTCAACAGAGCTAGAAGAGGGAACTCCTTTAAAGTAAAACATCAAGTTCACAAAATGTAACTGTGCGGCATCAATTTAAAGCTTCGAGCGGGAGATCGGAAAGAGTTGTATCAAACAGTAAAATAGATTGTTGGGCTAGTTGGTTGATCGGCATAATGAAAAAGAATGCAAAATAAACGGTACAAAGTCGAAGAAAAACACGCACGAGACAGGTGCCTGCCCTGTGTGTGTGTTTCTACAACATTGTCGCGTCTATATTGAGCTTCTTTTTTTATAGTCTCTACAAAAGTTGCATTATAAGATCATTGAATGTACTTAACAGAACTTCAGAGTAGCACCTTATTAAAAGATGAGTGTCTAAAAATCACTTGGGACCATTCTCTCCGGGATTGCACTTGGGACCATTTTGTCCGGGGCCGTTTCGTCCAGGGCCATTTCGTCCGAGGCCATTTGTTCTGCATCCTATCATGCCATATTGCTCGCGAAAACTACGAGAACAGCAACGACCACGTTTCTGTGTTGTTGTTTTTTCAACATGCCATCCCATTCTCCTAACTCTTGGTGGGCGACCTCAAAGTAGCGAGCGGGGTTCAACGGCGGACGGAGCACTCATTTCTTACACTGCACATAAATTTGAACGCACAGCATATCGAAGTTTAGTTTTGCTTCACTCAAAACGCACTTATAGAATATGCCTATGGGATTATTTCGGGGGTATCCTTCTAGACATAACTGCTCCTTGAAATCGAAAAACCACCATTTACAGACTGATTTATTTTTGAAGATAAAGATGACTGCAACACATCACTTGAACCTTCCGCGCAGCAGGATTTTTGATGCCCCTCGCGGATGGGTCCCAACTCTATTTTTGCGGCTCGACGCGTGCCGCGAAACAATCAGAGGCGCCGTATTGGGAGACGGGTGGTGTCATGACTCATGACCACAAGCTAGGACAACTGCATTCTATACTAAAACAAAAAAACCAAAAAACGTTCCTCTGTTCTATTTTTTTTTTTCATTCACACGCGCAGTTATACGTATATTGTTTAAACCCGAAAGCAAGTTAAAAAATAGCTTTTGTTACAAAAAAAACACGACGCCGCTTAATCACCGTATCACTCATTCATCGCAACATGCACTTTTTTGTGTGTGTTGCTCATTCATCGAAGTTTTGCACCTTTGAAAATTTGTATGCATTTTTTGGGGGTTGGGGGAAATAAACTACACAATCGATTTCCGGAGGTACAGATTTCTTCAAATAAACTTTAATTCAATGACCCGTTTGGTTTATACAAATGAGTACCTAAGAGTAGCTTTATACTGACATTTCTTACTAAATAAAACACGGCGAGCAGTTACGCTTGCAAACGAACGCCAGTGTTCAAACCGCCGAAGCAGGTGGCCCGGGAGTCAAAGGCATCGAAGCCTGTTTCATCTGTGGTCCGAGGCGAAGATTATCTCGGTGTGGTAAACAACACAACGCGACTTGGTAAATAACTACGACATTCCACCTCTGTAAGCTTTCAAGGACTTGACAGCTCGCACGGGCAGCTTTGTTTCCACAGAATGGCGCACCCAATTTCTCGCGTGCGAAGCCTTTCGAGCCTGGTCATTGTGTCCCTCTATCCGGTAGAAGACTTAAGTGACCTCCTTTTTCCAAAGATCGCTTTATCTCTTTCCTGGCTGCAACAAGAACCCTTTTCGCTCTCTCCAGGCCGGAAACTAGCTCTGCATTTCTTTTTTTACTTTGCGAGGGGTGCTTTTGGTTGAGAAAGCACGCTTCTAAAGGATCTTCCCCGAAATCGGTTCTAGTTTAGCGAAAAGAACCCTTTTTTGCTCATTTGGCTCCTTTTTTTCTGAGAGTGTACACGTAAGAAGTCTTGAGTGTCTCTGCCGAATTTTGGTTATAAACTTGCAGAAAAAAGGAAGCATTAGAAAGGAGGGGAATGAAAATAGTTACGGTTACTCGTAATTCCTTCCTAACAAATGTATTCGTATGATTACAAAATTACTACAAAAAATAATCGTTTACAAGTAATGTTAATGCTTGTAATGAGTGCCGTTCGCTATAGTGCAACCATATTGGGAGCTAGGGAGTTTCTAATGCAAGTCCCAAAGCAGTGATTACATCAAGTCAAGCGGGTATATATCTCTGGCAGTGGTGGCTGTCAAAAAATCAAACTCGCGAAGCTTGGCGGTGCAGCGTCAGCTCTGACTCTGCCCTTTCAAGACCCCGATAGGGCTAGAACGGTGGGGAGGAGCTTCAGTTGTCCCGCCTCCAGCGCGAGCTTTCGTCAACGCTTCGGCGTCTCGTGCAGTAAAAGCACGGCGGAAGGCACGGGGAGCATGCTAGAAGCCGGGCGTTCAAAAGACACGCCCGGCCGCTCTCATTCTGTCCGTGACTAAATATATGCTCCCTTTGAAATTTAGGTCCGACCGGAACCGACGCCATGATTCGGTAAAACCAATCAAGCAGTGCTAAACCGGCATCATGAGTGCGTTCGTAATACGCAAGTTACGCCCCAAAAAGAGAAAAAAAAGCACAGGTTGGCTGCGCATTTACTGTACGTGATCGGTGTAGTTGGTGACAGAAAACGCACCAGGGCCACGAGCGCAGTGACGAGGCACTTTTCGCGCTGTTTGATTGCCTCCATCGATGGTAGAGAGTTGGCTACGGACCAACTTAAAGTGAAACGGATATTGTGGTAGAAAAATACTGAGAGTCATTATTTATAATTCTGAATTTCAGAATTTTCGCCGGAAGAAAACAACGAGTCGGGCAGCTTCATCTCCCTCCCGAAACATGGTGGGTCCTTTGATCGCGGAATCACTCGAAGAACCTCGACCGGACGTGACGTTCCTCCCGGAAGTCTACGTGAAGGCCAACGACCTACAGCGAACGCTGAACATCTGGACGCTGGAACGCTTGGGAACGTCCTTCAAGAGCAGGCCCAACGCGGGCCAGCAGTTCATGGACGTGGGATGTGGTAGTGGCGACTTCACTCGCCAACAACTCCTGCCACGCTGCCAGCCCTGCAGGAGGATCGTGGCAACGGACATCAGCGAAAGCATGGTGCGCTATGCGAGAGAGAACTTTGCCCATCCACAGATCGAGTACGAGGTGCATGACATCTCGAAAGACGTGTCCGGACTTGTCAGGAAGTACGGCCAGTTCAACCGCGTCTACTCTTTCTGCGCTTTACATTGGGTGAAGGACCACGTGACCGCTTTCAGAAACATATCGAACTTGATGAGTTCCGAAGGAGAGTGCCTGCTTCTCTTTGTGGCTCGTTGGACGGGCTTCGAGATGTGGAGGAGGATCGCCCACATGGACAGATGGAAAGCGTATAGAGAGGTAACGACTTTGCTTATATGATGAATTGGTTTATTGTTATTTTCCGACATGAGCCAAATTCAGACACAGAAACTACGCCAATTTCGGTTGAAATTTGGAATATATCTGGGGGTATATCATTTACAAAAGGTATTCATTTGAAATCGGTCATGTTATATGAAATAAAAACCAATGTAAAGGTGGCCGCGGCACAGGGCTGAAAGGTTGTTTGATAAACACGCATTCCTGATTATCTCAGTTTTTCTTCACATAGATTTGGCTCATTAAAAATCCCCCCCCCCCCCCAAAAAAAAAAAAAGACTCCTAATATATAGTTGTAAAGCACTGACCTTACATAGACACCCTGCATGGACCGTGCTCTCTTGCGTTGATGTCCGCGTCGTAGCAGGACCATGGGAGGGTGACAGCAACAAATGCTGATTGGACGTTTCGGAGCGAGTGACCAATAGCGTTGTACCGCGAATTGCGGGTCAGGGGCAGGGTTGGAAAGGAGGGGAGTTTAAAGGAAGGACCCAATCTCCTTCACATTGGGGACTTACCATACATCTTTATATCTATACATCTCACCTCACCCTTGCAGTCGCAACGATCAATGACTGGTGGAAATTTTTTTCATCCGTTTGCTCTATAGTTGGCTTCTGGTTAGCTCAGTTGGCAGGGCGCCTCGCTCTTCTTGTAGAGGATCGTGGATCGATTCCCAACCAGGCGGATTTTTAGAGCGCAGCTCTTAGGCGCCCGCTTCCGGCTTGAGCGGCGCCGCCGTTGGCGTAACCGCACGTGTATTATGGGACGCGTGACGTCACTGATGACGTGAGTCAGTGAGGGTACCGATACCAGCAGTGACAATGACTTCATCAGTGACGATGCCGACGACGTCATCACTGTCGTCACTGATGACGTCATCACGATGACGATGACGTCATCACGATGACGATGACGTCATCGTCACGTGAACTCACAGGGGTCATGTGGACCGTGACGTCACGTGACCTCGGTGACGTCACGTGACCCCCGTGAGGCGACGGCGACGCCACTCGGATGGCGCGTTCACACTGGAAGCGGATCCGCGTTCGCGAAGCGGATCCGCGCGTTCTCAACCGCGAGGCGGCTAGGATCGAGCGGTTGGAGCGCGTTTTTGCCAACCGCTTCGGGACCGATTTCTCTCAACCGCTTTCACGAACCGCAAAGCGGCAACCAATCACAACGCGACGCTGACGTGACGTCAGCGACTTTCGAAACAAGATGGCACCTGTCGCCGGTGAGGCGTCCAAGGCGCTGTAGTCCTAGCGCTGTAGTCTTAGCTTTCGACAAATCAACGGAGAAACTTGATGTTCACGTCCGTCTCTTGAATCCGCCGCGAAAAGAATTGGCTCGTAATTTTAACGGGCTTCGCACCGGTGATTTGGTTCGGGTAAGAGTTTGTTTATTATTCCGGCTGCCACAGCCCAAGCTCGCTGCCTTGTTAATCTCTGCCTGTAGAACGTCGGAACCCACCCCTGATCGACCGAAATGTCAGCTTTTCTACCCACTAAGATAGTCGCATGAACTATTGAAAGCTTTCGACACCGTGCATGATCCCCACGAAGGCCGATAGAGACGTCGTGAGCTTGATTGCGTAGCTAACGCACTACCGCGGAGGGGGCAGGGTACCTGCGTTAGCTCGACCTGTAACGTTTACTACTAGTAAAATAAATAAAGGGAACCTACTCAAGGAATAAAGTGTACGTAGCAGACACTGCACAGGTAATCCATACGGCGTTTATTTGAGCTTAATGTCAAACAGTAGACTCGATCGACGAGCGAGTGACGAGTGGAGAGTCCGCCACCAACGAAGCCCACGACCGGCTAGCACCGAACACATCCCCCGCACTACGGTCCACCCCACCACTCACAACTTCGAAAATGATAAGAGCGAACAACAACGAGGGGGAAAACTGGCCCTCTATCCCGAAAACAAGGTCAGCTATTCATGCGGGAAGGGTCCACTTCGAAGGAAAGGTCGGGGGCATCCTGTTCTGAGTCAGCAAGGCGCGCCTAGCTCAGCTTTACTTGTGGGCGAAGTCGAGGGAATCACAGGCGAGTTTGGCGGGACTATGCTTCTTTTTTCGCTGCCTGAACTCGTGATGCGTGAGAACATCCCAGAGAAAAATATTCCGAGTGCCAAAATAGCAAAACTTTGGCTTTGGATCTTGAATTAAAGTGGATTTTGGGTTGTAAAACAGGGTTGCCAAACGCAAGTCTCCAAAGATGACGCGTGATCGCCGAGAAACCGCCAACCGCCTCTCGGTGTGTGTGAACGGGGTCGCTCGCGAACCGCATCCGCGACCGCTTCGCGAACGCGGATCCGCTTCCAGTGTGAATGCGCCAGGAGGGAGGAGTAGCAGACAGGATGAGGAGGTGAGGAGGAGGGGTGTACCTTTCCCTCAGTACCCTTCCCTCCTCCTCCTCCTCCTAATCAAGAGCGGCGCTCTAATTCGGCGTTACAGGGAGTTGTAAACGGCTTTCATTTTTGCAGCAGCCACCAATCGCCTAGAGAGCGCAAGGCTCACGGCATCTCAGGTGGAAGTCGACTTAATCCTATTCGAAGAAATAATTTGTTCAGTCCGGCACGCTGGAAGACGATCGATAGGCTACAAGCTGGCCGTAGAAATGCCACCTGGAAGACAAGACCCGCACTGTCCTCCTCTGACGTCATGACTGGATGGGTGGATACGACTGAACGCTTTGAATGGGGCGGCGACCTGTGCCACCTAGCGGACATCGGCGTCGCCGCGAGCGCGCCTTGCAGCGTCTCGCAACAACCCGATGCCAGCACCATACCTCGGTAAACCTCACTCATGAGGGCCCTCACTCACCTTCATCTTCACAGGTGAGGTGAGGGTGAGTGAGTTTCTGAACCAGGAAAATTCATGAGTATGAGGGTGAGTGAGGGCCGTGAGGGCCGTGAGGGCGGTGAGGGCTGTGCGTGAGGGCCGTGAGGACGGTGAGGGGTATGAGGGCCATGAGTGCGTGAGAGGCGTGAGGGCGGTGAGTGGCGTGAGGGCCATGAGTACGTGAGGGGTGTGCGGGCGGTGAGGGCCGTGAGTGCGTGAGGGCCGTGAGGGGTATGAGGGCGATGAGTGCGTGAGGGCGGTGAGTGGTGTGAGGGCTATGAGTGCGTGAGGGCTGTGAGGGCCATGAGGGGTGTGAGGGCCATGAGTGTATGAGGGCAGTGAGTGGCATGAGAGGCGTGAAAGCGGTGAGGGCGGTGAGTGCATGAGGGGTGTGAGGGCCATGAGTGCGTCAGGGGCGTGAGAGCGGTGAGTGCGTGAGGCCCCCTTCAGACGGAGCATCTTTCTCAGCAATTTTGATGTTGATGGCGGGTTGCTCTCTAGCTTTCCCTAGATCGACACGAATTGCTGAGATGGGGTCCGGCTCGAAATAATCAAGCAACTCGGAGCAATTCGAAGACGTTTGAAGCGGCTGCATCCGATCAGGGACGCAAAATTTTCACGTGATACCTCGTGCCGAAGATGATGACACCGAAAGACTTGGTTCTGGTTCGAAATCGATCATTTTTAGATACTAACTGTTTCAAAAAGGTACATTAGCATTCTCAACGATATTTAAATGCATAAAAAAACGTTTATAACACGTAATTGTGTCTAAATAGTGCAAGAACAATAAAATTTCATGATGATGATGACAAATTGCAGCAATTGGTTGCTGCGTGTGATCGCGGGCGGCCCGTGTTGCTGGTGTTGCGACGTCAAGTTTCTGGGCGAAATTGCCTCATCTGAAGCTGGCCTGAGTGGCGCGAGGGCCATGAGTGCGTGTGGGGCGTGAGGGCTGTGAGGGCCACGAGGGCGGTGAGTGCGTGAGGGCGGTGAGGGGCGTGAGGGCCATGAGTGCGTGAGGGCGGTGAGTGCGTGAGGTACGTGAGGGCGGTGAGTGGCGTGAGGGCGGTGAGTGGCGTGAGGGCGGTGAGTGGCGTGAGGGCTATGAGTGCGTGAGGGCGGTGAGGGGCGTGAGGGCCATGACTGAGTGAGGGGCATGAGGGCTGTGAGTGGCGTGAGGGCGGTGAGTGGCGTGAGGGCTATGGGTAAGTGAGGGCCGTGAGGGCGGTGAGGGGCGTGAGGGCCATGAGTGAGTGAGGGGCGTGAGGGCGGTGAGGGGCGTGAGGGCCGTGAGGTTCAGTACGGGTGAGCGAAGGGCTGAAGGTGAGTGTGACTGTGAGGGGGAGGGGGATTAAGGGGCTGAAGGTGGGTGTAGCTGTGAGGGTGAGGGTGAGTGAGGGGCTTATGCGAGTGTGGCTGTGAGGGTGAGGGTGAGTGAGGGCGACATAAAATGCCGACCTCTGGCCCAGCATTAGGCGACGCCAAGACGTTCCTGTCTACCTCTTTGCTGCACACCTCGGTCGAGCTAGAGGGTGTTTGCCCCTTGAGCGGGTGAGGAATCCTTCAACAATGCCTTAATTTCGGGGTCTTGTCCTCTAGGTTGTATTTGACACAGGTTCTCAGGACTCCCAAAAACCGGAAGGCGGAATAACTCCAGCAGTCAGTAGTCACTCGACGTACGTAATGCGCCGCCACAACGTCACAGTGATGCGAGCTTCAGAAGGGAGAAGAGGATGGTCAGCTTTTATACCACCGGTCATGTGACTCGATCCTCTTCAAGGGCAACGGGACACAATTTATACCCTAGACATAAGTTTTCACTACAGACTGCTTGACAATAGGCCACTGCCCCTGAGCAATTAACGTTCCCTGTAGTTCGCACAAATTCCCATTTATGAATGAATATTCTCTTTGCTGACATGCATATGTCCCTATAGAGTACATTGCGCAAATCTGTTACCATAAACCAGCCATCGCCGTTTTTGTTTTCCTTTTTTCTTTTTCGAATTTAATGGTTGTAAGAACAGCAGCCAAACTCGGAAGGTAACGAGCGAGCGCTGGAGGCCGGACATCCGAAAGCTGATTCCTTGTAGTTCCCATTCTGTCAGTGAGTACTGCTGGACA